AAATATTTTTATTTGTGTACCAATTTAACGTTAAATATTATTTATGATTTTAACTTTATACACAAGTGCCAAAATGCTATTCTTGGCATTCCAGAAAAATTATGTCATGACCTTCCCAGCAGAGAGTTGTGACTTGAACTACTTGGGGGGGGGGGTAAACTTGAGTGTTTCCATTTGCATCTTTGTGAAGTGGTGAACATACGCTTCATCCTTAGTTTCAAATTTATCAAAACCTTTGGAGTAAGCGTTGGCTTTCAACAACTCGGATCCGTTTCTGACTAGGTGATATTTTCGGAATCTATCTGGCATTAACCTTACTCATGCTTAAACTTCACTCAAAATACTTGCTACAGTACTTTTACCGATTCCCATTTGCTAACTTCCTAATGATAAATTATTCTATCATATTATCATATATTAGCAAATCAAAATTTATCTACAATTTCAGTTGTGGTCAATATTACAGGCCAACCTGACCTCAGACCATCTTCACGATTGTCTACCGCGCTTAAACTCAGCACGCCACTTTCCCACTGTTGAATATGTCGCAGCGCCCTCTCTTAATGCTGCTTCCATGTCCTGATGGATTTATTGTGGTGTCATTTTCTTCTTAACAAAATATTTGATCACGGCACGAAGTTCGATCTTCACTATGACGTTTAACACTGCTCACTTCTTTCCGTGAAAAATCCACAACACACAAAATAAGCTCGTTAAGTTATGTGCTACGTGTAGGTCACTCATAAAAAGGCTCAAACGTAACATTTATCAGAAACAATTATACAATCCAGTTTTTTTTCGGTCGGGCCACGAACTTTTCGGACAACCCTCGTAGATGGCTGTAAACATTTTCTTCATGTAAATATTCACATATCTCCTCCCCATATTTTATACTATTGTTGCGTCAGCAAGGTCACGTGACTATTGTCACGCCGCCTATTTTCTGGAAGTATCTTGTTCCTTCGTGAATGCCCTAGCATTTACTAGATATATGTTTTTCTGGTATATAAATAGGACGCTCATATCGTGAAAATAATGTGTGTGTGTGCAGACAGTGAGTAATTGATCTGCAGTCGGAGAGTATTATCGAAGTTAATGTTCGTTGTTATAGCGTTTGTTTTAGCGTGATTGTTGAAATTAAGTGTATCGGTAAAGTTATATTCGGAAAGAATAAACCAGTTTTATTAAGTAAGGACTTGTGTCGCTAAAGTTTCGTCGGAACGAATTTACGGGAAATCAATTAACAAACGGAGACGTAACAATATGTATAATTCTGTAGTATAT